ACTGCCAACCTGCAGCCCCCTGGCACTGCCAGTGCCCTGCACTCCCAACTCACTCCCAAGCCACAACCCCCCAACTCTGCCAGTGGCCCTCACTCCCAACCCCCAGTCTCCTACCCCCCCAGTTTTGCCAGTTCCCCTCACTCCTGACCCATAGCTCCCTGCACCCTGAGCCCTGCTGGAGGGACTCCAGCTGTCCCTGTCCTGACTAGGCCAGAGCGTGGTGGCTCTGATTCATGCAGGTGGTGCTGGAGTGTGCCCAGCCCTAGTATGGGCTGGAGGGAAGAGGAGAGGACACTTGTGGCACTCCCCACCCTGGGATGGGGCTGCTGCACCATGCCAGACAGCCTGGCCATGGCTCCCCTCCCCGCTTCTTCCCCCGTTCCCCTCGGGCACCATCTACCTGCCGCTCAGACCCTGCAAGCATAGGCACCAACCTCTGTGCTGCCACCTGGTCACAGAGTTCCCCACTGCTCTCAGAGCTCCCCCCCACCCCTTTACCTCACTGGAGGGGCAGGCAACCCTCCTACCCTGTCTCAGTCCCAGTCCACCCCCCCTGCCCTAACCAAATGTCCAGGAGTTTGCTTGGCTTCATTGGTGGGAGCAGGGGGAAGGTGATCAGAGGCAGCAGGGAGCACCACATGGGTCTGTGCGTATCTCTGCATCTGCAGGCAGGTGTGTCTGTGCTCCCTGCTGCTTTTGATCACCCTCTCCCTGCTTCCACCAGTGGAGCAAAGCAAAATCCCAGACCTTTGGTCAGATTTAAAAAAACTCTCCTGAACAGAGATCAGAGGGCTCAAAAATACTGGGCTCAGTCCCTGTATTATTCTGAGACACCTGGGCTCAGTCCCTGCTCTGCATGGGATGGAGGGTGGAAGCAATGCACCCTGGTATACTATAGGACTGCAAATTGAAGTTATCCTAACACAAGCTAGGTACCATGGCCCAGAATTAACCCTTGCCTGAAGTGGCGTAACTCTGAGAGGCTTAGAGGGATCTTAGCATGAAATAACAAGCTTTAATATGTGGGTGCTTGTGTTTTAAGTGCCATTAGTATGGTCTCAGTTTAATGTGTAGTTTCACCTTTATAAATAAGTCTTTCTTTTTCCCTTGGTTAAGTGACTGAAGTAGAGGTGGCAGTGAACCACAACAGTAACCGAATACATTTGTTTTTGTCTTGCAAACTTACTGGAATGTAAATACAGAGTGCTCAAAGTGAATTGCAAATCTACAGAAATTGTTTGGCAACTGCAAATATCTGATTACAATTTTGTGCCCCTAACCTAACATGTAGGTACAATCAGTTCATCAGACTAAAAGGGGAGGCTTTTCAAAAATGCTCAGCTTGATCTAAGCTCTCCCTTAAGTCAGTGAAAGTTTTGTCATTGACTACAATGGGAGCTTTTGAAAATCCCACCACAAAGAATTATTGATTGGAACCTAGAACCGTAGCAAGGGCAGTGCCAGAGGTGAACTAGCAGTGGGCACTCTCGCTCAGGGCGTGCCAAATCAAATGGAATTAAGGTTATGTTATAGCGTGTAGGAGGTGCTCAGCATATGACCTGCACCAGGTGCCAGAATGCCTCGCTACGGCTGTATTTGTACATATGGTTAATGGTGGACATGGAACTGATGTACAAGTGCCCTATTTCAAAGATGCCAGCTGTCATAGTATATGGCTAAGCAGTTCATCTGTACCATTGAATCCACTTTCTCTTCACACTGTGAGAACTGGGAGTTTTCAAAGGGACCCAACTGGAGTTGGGCGTCCAGGGAAGTAGGATACTTCAGACAATCCCAGCCTGAGTGAATCATACACTTTTGTAATTGTACCAACTTATATAATTTTTAATAGAAAAAGGAGTCACCACAATATTAATTTTTTTTGCTTTGAGAAATAAATCTTACATCAAAACATTTTGGTTGCATTTTTTTAAAAAAAAATCTGTTTAGCTACATTCTGCAATTTGTAAGAGAGTCTGTACACCAATGTATTCTTTAACTGGGAGAAACTTATAAGTCCAATCAGTGTTCCAAAGTCAACTCTGCATTCAGTGGTATTTTATTGTGTTCATATTGTTTTGCATAGTGCTGTAAAACATTCTGGCAGGAGAAAAATATATTAACAAAGTACATAATGAATAGTTGTTGTTGCTAGCTAGGGTTAGCTTACTGCTGCATCTGCTCACAGTTATTTTTCTGTATCCAAGACAATTTTTCTCTTTTCACTTTCAATTTAGTCTTGTGAATTCTTGGGGAAATACATTCAAGAGAAGATCTTTCAGGATACCTTCATCCTTGTGCCAATGCAGGTAAATTACCTAATTTACTACTTTTTTTTTAAGTATTTTGTATTAGTTCAAACAATGGGACTTTCAATGTGTCCATCAGGAACCTCATCTGCATTCCTCTGATCCTCATGGCTGGGAAATTTTTCCTGATACAATATTCAGGCCTAATTTTCCTTTCATTATAATCATCCAGTTATTACTAATTATCATGTTTCAGGTGGAATTCCTCTCCCTTTTTATTACTGTTGCCCTTTCCAGTACTCATAGGTAATTATCATACCTTCTTACTCCATAATCTTAATTTAACTATGCCTTTAATTTCTCCTCCTAAATCAGTTACTCCAGGTCCTTAATAATCTGCCATCCTGCTTGTTGAATTCCTAATAAAATGTTTGCATTTTCCTAATATAGAGTGCCACAAACATAGTATTTTAGATGTGATTTTACCAGTGTATTAGTTGTGATCTTATCTGCCATACCTAGAGATACTTTCACATTTCTGCTTCTCCTTCACTAAAATGTGTCCCACCTTATGCAGCCCAGATTTGGATCGGATTAGTTGTTTTGACACCAAATGCTCACACCGTAGAAACATGTCACCAAGACCCAGTGTGGGGGATAAAGTGAAGTGGTTAATGTTGCCATCAGGGAAACATCTCTGAAATTCCTAGATCACCAA